ATCATGGAAGCTTATACCAGAAGGAGAAACACACCTGGTGTAACTAATCACACAGTAATCCCAGGCATACAAGTCAATTGTTCGTTAATTGTTTAAAGACCTATTAATCTGTACACTAGTAGTTCCTGGCAACTGTTTGATTAAATGGCAGATTATTCATTTACACAGCATGCAGTAGGTTTTTGAGTACTATTTGTTATGAGATTATCTCATTTTTATGTAATTCTAGTGTTTATTGTAATGAGCTAAGTGCATCACACTGAGGCATTCCTAATTGCTTTGGAAAATTTAGAATACTTTGTTAAGACCATCAATCAAAAGTAACTCTGTATAATCATGATTGTCTTTTATTTCGACCACTTTCTTACAAGTCTTTATTGTATATTAAGGAAATTATTTCAATTTTGAGTGCCTTTTAGAATTTAAAAATGTATGGTTTGAGTTCAAAAGTTCATTAATTAAATCATTAAGGCCTGGTTGGTCTGAGTGATTAATTTATACAAAACATTTAAACAATAAATGAAGTATTATTGCATTACAACAGAAGATTGATTCATCAATTTCCATTCTTACATGAAAAAAAAATTTGTTGGAAATATTTTGAACTACACAGTGCGGGAAAGGAATTTTCATGATTTCATGATTTTCATTTGATTTGTTGACGTCACATGTGATGAGGTATATATAGCATGTAAACATCCAGTGGATACATCATATAATGTAATTATGCAATTGATTGTGAGTCTGTTCTGTAAGCTGGCTGGATATCTTTCTCACATAAAAGAATCTGAAGATGCTGGCTTGGCTTGAACCTACTGCGCTAAGAGCCTGTTTGTTTGTTTGTTTGTTTTCCCAACAGTATTTCAGTCATATAGGCGGGTAGTTTCCTTACCATCGTTCCTGGAGAGTTACACCAGTACTAGACTACCTTCCTCCGTGCTATTACCAAAGCATCTCCCGGGGATCGAACCCACGCCAGAGAGGTAACTGGATTAGAAGTCATCGACTCTAACCCCTCGACCACGGAGGCGGTATAAGAGCCTGTTTAATAAGAATTTAGTGAGAAGTTTGTAAGAAGGTGCCATAAACACACTGAGAGTAAACAAGCATGCAGTTTGTGTGACTGCCCTTGTTTTGAAATGTGATTGGACATGCTTTATGACGGTCAATGATTTACAATTTTATAATTGATCACATTAGTATTTAAAACTAAATTTACAAACAACAAATGTACAAAAACAACAAATATGTTATGCTTTACAAGATACTAATTGAAATTATTGATTACATTTATTTGAAGCATTGATTTTAGAAACTCCTTTAGATATGGGAACTAGCATCACTAAATGGTATTGTCAATATATTGGAAAACATGCTGACAATCTAAGATATAAATACATGAATAATTCAACGTTCTAAACAATTTAAGGCATGAAAATTTTTCATTTAATTTTATTGTTTTCGCTACACTTTTTTTTTAAGCTTTTTTTTTTAAAGCTGTTTAAAAATGCACAAATTTACTAACAGCTGGGGAATTGTCTTTGTTTGTTTTGTCCATCTGTCTTTACAGAGAGAATACTTGCAATTTTTCCCTTTTTAAATTTGGGAAAATGTGCTACTCGGGGGTTCAACCCAAATACTTAAAAAAGGGTTTTGGGTGCATGGCTCCATAAAGGAAAGCATGAGCGTTTGGGAAATTTTAATTTCCCGGGGGGTTTTCGGGTTTTTATCCTTTTGAGTTTTGATATTTTCGTTATTTTTCATGGAAAATTTTTGTCCCCTCAGTCATTTATATTTTGACCGGGCCTTTATGAAGGAAATTTGCCCTCGGTCACTTGCTGGACATTTGTTATTGAACTGATTGGTTAGTTTAAATATTCAAGAAAGCTAGTGAGGTTGACCGTCTGCTGAGATATGAGCAAAAATGTGGTAAAATTGATGTACAATTGTAAGAACAACCAGACAATAAAAAAATACAACTTCAAAATGAAGAAACATTCCTTAAATACATCTGATTGACAAGATATTAACAGACAAACCTTCTGTAATAACAAACATAGATTATTTATGTAGTGATAATTTCTATGCTTTCACCTCTGTTTGTTTGAAACCCGATTCCAAGAGCTTAGCATTTTATAAGATAGGCGAGAAGAAAAAAATATATATATATTGGCAAACTGGAACTGGAATGAAATTAGTTCTACATGTTTGAAATTTGATCTTCGGAACTTCAGAGTAGAAAATCATCGTTACATGCAGCTGTCACGATTATAGATTTGTGATAGTAAGTCTAGCTGCTTCAGACCACGGATGTTAAAGTTCATAGGATTATGAAATAAGCTGATGTGTAGGGGGGGAAAAAAGAGATCGGTAGGAATTTAAGACGTGTTGCTACTTGTAGTTAGCTTTAATTTAGCCGAGACATCAACTTGATTGAGTCAATATGAGTTAGTGTTAGTGTAAATAATAATGGATTTTAACAAAGCCGAAAAAACTGAAAAAACTTTGGGGGAAAAATGAAACAAAGGGAATTTTTAGGGAAAATTTTCAAGGCAAACGATTTAGATCATTTCCCCTCTTTGTTTAGCATTTTTAAATTATTTCAGTGAATATTGTCCCGTGTGTGTTGTGTAAAAAAGCTATCCTTTACTTTGTGTGTTTGGTTTTTTAAAAAAGTGTAAAATTTTTGGGTTTGTTTAAATATGGGTTGTGTGAAAAAGTGCCATAAAATTGGAAGGATTTACAAATTTCAGAGTTTATTTAAATGTCTTCAAGTGTCCCCGCACTCAAAACCTTTTTAAAAAACGGCAATTTCCCAAATTTCCCTTTGGGTAATTACCCATGCAGTGCCATAAAGGGAATTTAAATTAATCAAATATTGAGTAATTTTCTTTGATGATGATACAAATAAATATTTTTCATTGATTCTCTGAATTTTACATTCCTTGAATTTTCATTTGTGTGATGGGATCAGGTTGTCTGAGGAAGATAATTTTTTTTTCTTTCGTTTAATAATACGATATATTGATTTTGATTGAATGGTTATTTTACTACACAGTACCATTGGATATTATACAAGCTGTTTGGTTGGTGAGAATAATTTTTACGAAGAATGAATCCTCGAGAAATTAGGTCACTATGATGCACAAAGAGAAAAAATAAAGTTAGGAATCTCCAGTATTTTTGCGGAATTTGATCTTTCAGGACAAAGAAACTACGAATCTTGAAAATCTGAAACTCTCATAACCCAACTGTTTAATGAAGATGCAAATGTGATTATTTTTGCACGGGGAACTAACAGCTGGGTGCAGGCACATGAAGTTTTTCATTAGAATGAGATCAGATGATGAAAACCATGTGATTTTGAAAGGAACAGCTTTTGTATTTGAATAATCTTTCTGGTGTGATCATGGAAATTAAAAATGCAGATGATTTTGTGGATTTTCAATTTAAACACATCTCCCAACCACCCAGCCTCCCCGTACATATGTGTGCATGAGGAATGTGCTGTAATGCATTATCGAGATTTTTTACGTGAGAAAATATAAACTTGTACATGTGGTACATTAAAGTTCCGCAGCTGCATTGTGATAATAGTATTGATAGTAGTAAATTTACGTGGAAATTATTTTTCTCTACCGTGAAACATTTCTCTGCATGGTAGGAAAGAGTGCTTGAATTATGTATATTTATAGTTATTAGTATATGATTACACATGCAGCCAGACAGGAAGTTGTGAAGTACAATTTGAGCGAAATGTTTTTCATCGATTAAAATAACTTTGATGTGTTTTGTCATGAAGTTTTATTTACTTGACCGGAGAAAAAAACATTCTGTTTTAGGCGTTCTTGTATAACGACCAACAAAATAGGAAATTGATTACTAATACGATCATATGTATGATTTGTTTTTATTGATATGTGTTGAATAAAGGCGTTTATCAATCACGTTCATGAAATGCAATGGGAGTTGGTGTTATCTTTTGAAGTGGACAGTAAGTAGTGAAACAGAAGTGGATATATCTGCGGTAGCATTTAGTTTATAGGTCCGTAGAAATTACTCAAACAATCCTAATTTGGGAGGGTTTGACATTTTGTTTGTTTTTATGCACAAACAAGGAGGGGCTTACTTTAATTGAGAGGAAAGTAAATACTTGACAATAGTGGAATCTTTATTAAACAAATGCTTCTGTATTGCTTTATCTGTGGAATTGCATACGCAAAACGAGCAGATAGTTCTCTGTAAAGGACGTTTGAAATATTTGGAATATCTCGGAGAAAGAAATACTCTGGAATATTAATGGGGGGTTTGTATTCAACAGCATGCAAATTTTATTGTTCAAATAAAACATTGTTCAACAAAAGTAAAAAGACGGTTAAAATAGGGGAAAAATTCTGTATCAAATGTGTGAAAATTTGTTTTTTGGAAAATGTAATGGTATTATGATTGTTTTTAAAAGGATGTATGAGAAAGGGCTTACAAACTTAAAATGTAGAGGGTATAATTGACGGTCATGACAAAAAAAAATAATATTTTGGGCCCGATGGTCAGCCCAGCTGCGCTTCCGCTCGTTGATCAGGATCCATGCTTTTCGCTTACACCCTTAAAGTAGAAAAATGGTGAAATCTGGACCCAAATCGACTGCAGGATGCGCGGGCGGGCTGGATCCTGCTGGTCGAAAAACCCTTTATGTTGGTTTGTTGACCCCCCATATGTTAAAATTAGGAGTTATGTTTTTTTCCTGTTCCCCTGTTTTGCGTGTAAAATATTTAATGAGATGTCATAACTTTTATAAAAAATTTAAAAATTAGTGTTTCTTAAAATTCATTAAAGTTTATCGTTGTAGAAATGAAAATTGCACGTGTTTGAAAAAATTTTTTATTGAGTGTATAGTATGATATGTATATTTTCATTTATATTTTGTTTTTTAAAAATTTCAGGTTAAAATGGTGATGCGACTGTGACAGTGGCGGGGTGTTCGTGGGGAAAAATGGTTCCCCCCCAGCAGGAAACACAAAATCAACAAGCATGTCATCAAGTTCAGAAAGTTCTATAAATAGCATAAGCGTTACATCTAGTAAAGTGGGTCAAACCACGCTTCAGACTAGTTCTGATGTTCCATATACAGACTCGACACAGTTCCCTATGCAACATCCTACTCAAATGTTGCCTAGCAACCAAATTCCTATAGCAACGACTGACCCAGTTTCAGCAACTAGTACTGAAGTTCAAGGTCAAGCCTCACAATCAATACAATCAGGGAATATGCAAAGTAGCCTGTCAAGTGTAAGTGATACAACTCAAATGGCGCAAGATTCAAAATCTTTGATCCCTACAAAATCAAGTGTTGACGAATCACCTGCAGCGGATAAAAATGATTCTGTGCTAGTTTCCTCGGTGGATGATAATTCTAAAAGTTCTTCTGGAGATATTAATACTTCTAAGGATGGAGTAACAAATTCTCAATCGGATAGTGTTAGTTCTACAGACATTGTAGCACCCTCAACAAGTAAAGCGGATATATTACCGTCAAAGTCCGAGTCATCCGTGGTGATGACTGGAGTGGTTTATAGTACAAACAAACCGACAACTTTCTCATCAGCAGCACAAGGATTAGATACAATGTCCCTAAAGACCACAGAGGCTGTTACCCCACCCACTGGTAAACCGATGGTACCTGAGGCATCAGGAAATTCTACTATACTTGGAGGTAAAATCATTTTATCAATCTGCCTGTTCCTATCTTACAAACCTAGTGGGGTGGTGGGGTATGGGGATGATTAGGTCACATTGCCACTAATAAGGTCATATAAGAACAGATTTGCACCTATGCATTATTTCAGACATATATTCAATTTTTTTTCCAATTAAGAAAAAATTATTTAAGACTGTTTACTATCCTCTGTTGATTGACAAATTGACAGTAAATGTTGGTTTTTGATAATGGTTAGTACTAGTTTCAAAACAAAAAAGTAATTGATACTTTTAATAAAACATGTAAATTGTTTTCAAATACTTCAATTTCAGTATGACTGAAAAAAGTAAAACTTGTACATATTAGGAGACATTCATGTACAAGCCAGTCCATACATGATACATACCTATACAATTAGCTGGATGTACATAGGCCTATTTACTTTTGAAAGGTCAAAGGTCAAAGTTACTTAAACTTGTAATATCAAAACATTAAACTGCCCATTATATCAAAGAGCATTTACTGAGAAGCTGCAAACATTGTATGTAGATACACCTTAATGAGTTCTCTCAATTTAGGTCAAAAGCTTAAAGGTCAAGGACATTATATCCCATTAACCCTATATTTATCTTTGAGAAATGAACCCTTTCCATCATGTTGATGCTGGTGAATTAAAATGTGTACAAAACAATAAATTATTCAGTTTCTTTGTCTAAAATCAAATGTAGGATTCTGTTATTAAATTTTCATAAATTATTTTTATTCAATGTTAAAATTTCTCATTGTTTTGTCATTGTGTTATATATATTTGTTCACAGGTGGATTATCAGACAATATTATATACATTGGTGTTCCACTATGTGGATTGGGTATACTTATACTCCTGATTCTGTGCATAGTTTGTATACGGAGGAAAAAGTCTAAGGCAAAGGTAAGTTTATATGAAAGTAACAAATTATATCACATTCAACGCTTCTTTCTTCATGTAGCTTACTAATAATTGTTAAATGCTCTAAATCCTGTGTTTAAATAATATATAAACACATTGTTGCCTATTATGAAGAAGAAAAAAATGTAGGGTTAATATGCCTTTAAAGATCCCAAAGTTATCTTCTGTTTGTCAAGAACACAAGAATCAGGTCTGTCATGGCCAATTCTGTCCTTGAAATGCCATAAAACGGGTTCTCGTAAAGATCTTAACTTTATTTTCAATAAAAGCCTCTTGTAGAAACCTAAGAGAGTAAATTATATTAAAGACAGTTATATGTCTGAGATGATTATTGAAAAAAATGACAGATTCACAGACACGACCATAACTAATAACATCAAAAATGTTAAGACAACATTCAAATAAACGTTTGGTCTTTTTCTCTATTTCCCCTAGCATTTTCTCTATTGATGTTGTTTTTCTTGAAAGCAGAAAAATGTCTGCCTGTATAAAATGCTCCTGACTCAGCAGTTATGGTGAAATATTCCGAGATTGCATGGTGCGTCTAGATTGCACAATAATGTGAATTACTTGTGAAATATGCAATGCTTTCCCAATACAAGAATGCTGGCTGGAAGCATTTTTTCATTGATTAGGTTATTTGATTAAAGGACAATATTCTGTCATTTTACTCATTAAGTGTGACAGGCTGACATGCTTTTACACAGTAGTTTTAAATACAATTCAAATATCGTGTGATTTCTTTCCTGTTGAATTAACAGTGAACAAATAGCATTTATAAGTTATTTTTAAGCTCTTATCATGGCAAATATCTTAAATGCAATGATTGATCTGGACCAACATATTCATGAATTTTAGGGAGAGTTTCAAAATACTGACTAAATAAGTCAGTTACGGTCAAAGGTCAAGGTCGCAGGGGCCTTGACATCAAAAAGCTTTTCCGCCCAATAACTTAAGATTCCTATGACCCACAGTCTTCATTTTTGGCATGAGGATAGTCGTGATAAGTAGATGACCCCTATCGATTTTGAGGTCACTAGGTCAAAGGTCAAGGTCACAGGGGCCTTGACATCAAAAAGCTTTTCCGCCCAATAACTTAAGATTCCTATGACCCACAGTCTTCATATTTGGCATGGAGGTTAGTCGTGATTAGTAGATGACCCCTATTGATTTTGAGGTCACCGGGTCAAAGGTCAAGGTCACAGGGGCCTTGACTTCAAAAAGCTTGTCCGCCCAATAACTTAAGATTCCTATGACCCACAGTCTTCATATTTGGCATGGAGGTTAGTCGTGATTAGTAGATGACCCCTATCGATTTTGAGGTCACCAGGCCAAAGGTCAAGGCCACAGGGGCCTTGACTTCAAAAAGCTTGTCCGCCCAATAACTTAAGATTCCTTTGACCCACAGTCTTCATATTTGGCATGGAGGTTAGTCATGATTAGTAGATGACCCCTATTGATTTTGAGGTCAAAGGTCAAGGTCACAGGGGCCTTGACTTCAAAAAGCTTGTCCGCCCAATAACTTAAGGTTCCTATGACCCACAGTCTTCATATTTGGCATGGAGGTTAGTCGTGATTAGTAAATGATCCGTATTTATTTTGAGGTCACTGGGTCAAAGGTCAAGGTCACAGGGACCTTGTCAAAAGAAAGCTTTCCCCTTCAATTGCTTCAGAATGCCTGTCCAGAGTGTATTGATTTTGACATTTTCACATTTGAAGCATGTAGAATACATAAATTAGCAATGCACTGGCTTAGTAACCTCAGATTTGGCAGGGAGGTTGTCCTTGAGTTCTAAATGGCCACTGTTGATTCTGACAAAGTGGTATGCGGGGGTATTCACGCCATGATAGTGGCAGTTCTAGTTTATTTTGCAATAAGTATCCCTATTTTTGTTTCGGTGAATATATTTTGTTCATTGGAATTGACATCCTGTTTGTAGAAGCAGAACAGTGATTTGATGGCATTAAGCAAATTAGAAATACTGTTCAGATATGTTTAGTTATAATACCCTTGGCATGACATGTTTTATGGTCTTACAACTTTTGCAAATCAATAAGATAATAATTAAGACAGTACATTGATCAATTTCCTATATTTTTAGCTCGACTATTCGATAAGAATAAGTAGAGCTATTGCAGTCACCCGAGCGTCGGCGTCGGCTTAACCACTTATGTTAAAGTTTTTGTAATAGTTCAAATATTTTCAAAGTCCATTGACATATGGCTTTGAAACTTTGCACACTTGTTCACCATCATGACCCCAACCTGTAGACAGGAGGAGGTAACTCTATCAAGCATTTTGACAGAATTATGCCCCTTTTTCGACTTAGAATTTACGTTAAAGTTTTTGTAATAGTTCAAATATTTTCAAAGTCCATAGACATATGGCTTTGAAACTTTGCACACTTGTTCACCATCATGACCCCAACCTGTAGACAGGAGGAGGTAACTCTATCAAGCATTTTGACAGAATTATGCCCCTTTTTCGACTTAGAATTTACGTTAAAGTTTTTGTAATAGTTCAAATATTTTCAAAGTCCATTGACATATGGCTTTGAAACTTTGCACACTTGTTCACCATCATGACCCCAACCTGTAAACAGGAGGAGGTTACTGTATCAAGCATTTTTTTTACTATCAAGCACTAAGAATAGTCGAGCGTTGCTGTCCTACCGACAGCTCTTGTTTCATTTTGCTCAGACTCATTTAGTTTCAAGGTCAAGCTTGCTTAAATGACTTATAATGGTACATTGAAGGTGGGCTCCTAATATCCAATGTGCCTCTGACCAAATTTATTATTGTGCAAGTAATTTACATAACTTAACATTTTTGTTCTAATAGAGAAAGGGTTATGTATAAAGAATGTTTTGAATATCTTATTTTACAATGTAAATACTAGTAATGCTTTAATGCACTTAGTCTAGAAGTGTTTTTCTTTTCTTTTTATTAGTGTTGTTTGTTGCTTACAGAATGTTAGTGATTCTACTCAGGTTCCTGTTCATGTCTGAAATCATGTATGGAAGGGCATCTAAGGTTTTCCTCCACCAGTAAAGTAGCCATAATGAATTTAAAAGAATTTGATGCAGGATGAGTAGAATAATGTTGCCTGCACATCGGATTTAGAAGCTACTTGTCCTGCAGGACGAGTGACTCTGAAATTATTTTTCGATGCCTGACTATTGGTTTATTATATAATTAAAAATAGCAAAGTTCAGCATTGTTCAAACGCTTTAAGCTTTCTTTCAAAATTGAAATAAATGTGATTAGTTATTTTTAGGCTCAGAAATGTAGAATATCAAGAAGATAATAGTCATTCATCTTCCACAGATAAAGAAAATAAAAGAAATAAAAAAATTAACACACATACCAAGGTATGGTGGTTGTAATAAAACTGCTAGCAGGTGACTAAAAGCCTCAATGGTACAGTACTATCAGAAATCTACCAAGAAAACTGAAAGTTATCTTTGCTTAACAAACAACAGGTTTTTGGCCTGATGTTTCTAAAAGATTACACAAACATTTCCCCCTCCCAGAGTACTCTTCAGATTAGAAATTAATTTTGGTCATTGGCTGCCTCGGATAACAAATTTACCATCATTTCAGTTGATATAGAATTTTATTATCAAACAAATAGCTAATTCGATATCTTTTAATCTTATTTTATTAATGATAGATTTATAATGCTTAAGAAATGTGAAAGTGTTTGAAGAATAATTCCAAAGTTTGAAACATTATAGTCTGGATGTTGTTATCTTATTTGTAACCAAGTCAAAATATACATTGAATAATTTTCTTATGTCGGAACTTGGTGAGATTTCACTTCATTCAGCATTGGAGTTTATTTTATGTTTGAGACTGGAAGTGAATTGACATATGGTGGCACTGACAATATTTAATTAACAGGAAGTGCCATAGTGAGTAATAAGTCACTGAGTGCATTTTTGTGGTTTTATTTCAGTGAAGATTCAAATGAATATTAATTGTAAGGAAATTCAGGGCTGTATTCTTGTATGTGATATTAACCAAAGATGAGCATAATCGTAGTTAGTAATTTTTATTGTGACATTTACTTGTCAAAGGAAGTGTCTTTGTGACAATTTTAAATATGAAAGGCAATTGATGCTGTCACATATGTAAATACAGAGGATGCATATGCAAATGTTTGGACATATATGTCACTTAAATTAATAACAGATCTATGCAAGTGCTTTCTGTAACATAATTGATACAATGATCAAAGTATAGGGCTTAAACTCTAAAATATTGAGTTCAGAAGTCTACACCACTAGGCTACCACTCCCTTTGATAAATATATGAGCCGTGTCATAACAAAACCAACATAATGGGTTTGCGACCAGCATGGATCCAGACCAGCCTGCGCATCCGCGCAGTCTGATCAGGATCCATGCTGTTCGCTATCAGTTTCTCTACGTGTTAAAGGGTTGGTAAGCGAACAGCATGGATCCTGATCAGACTGTGCGGATGCGCAGCCTGGTCTGGATCCATGCTGGTTGCAAACCCATTGTGTTGGTTTTGTCGTGACGCGGCTCATTTAATGATTTTGATTACTTTCAGGGGTCACCAGCTAAGAATCGTGTGCAGGACTTATGGGTAAATAATTCTAGACAAGATATTCCGCTTACATCAAGGAACGCGCTTCCTGAACAAAACAGTGGTGAGGCTGCTCTACAAGATGATATAGGTATACGTCATAAAAATGTCCTCCCTCCATTCTAAATATAGATTTTCTTAAATTATTTGATTGCTATGCAATTTTTGTTTTTATTTTGTTTTTTCTTCTATTCTTTATTTTGAATATCGAATCCTACCCTTTGCATGTTTATTTGAATATTGGTACTTGTTAAATGTAGTAAGTATTGTAAATAGGTACCTAACTTTGCATTTTGTGCATGACATGGACAGGGGTAACACATGGTTGTTGTTGTTTTCTTTTTCAAAACTATGCTATTGTCTACTGATCAAAGGTCAAAAATAACGATGAAAACTTTTCTTTTACTTCAGAAGGTACCAAAGGTGTTTTAAGTACATAGACTTTTCCTTAGCTAAATAGGACCCGAAGAGATATTAATGTTTCAGTGAAGAAATATTGTTACTTATAAATGAAGGACACATGTAAGGCTGTCAATTTTAGAAGAAGAAAAATGTTTCATTGTACTAGATTTTTAATGGATTTCTTAATATCAAAGTGGTTGAGCTCTAAGACACATTAATGTTTTTAGTGAGGTCAAGCCCTATCATGGGCAAGCCGTTGTTTCCTTGAACAAGAAACTTTACACTCATTGTTGGTTCCATCAACATATTCGAGAGTGTGTCTTTATGTTTTAAGCTACCTACACAATCAAACTAAAATAAATTCAGTATTAATCACTTGATTTCAGGGAATATTCTTGGTGTAAATGCATGTTGGAACAGGGTTTTAATTACCTTTTCTCTTTGTCAATAAATAATCTTTATGTACATCACAGACAGAGATAAGTAAACACATTAAAAAACTTCTTAAAATATCAGAATAAACACAATTCTTGAAACAGAGGGCTGTTTGATATCAAATTTGAGGTCAGTATTGTCCAATTAGAGTTTCAAATTTGTCAAATATGAAAAATGTCTTCCTTCCAATTGCTAAGTTTATTTAATAGATTTGTCTTATTTTGAAGTTTGATATCAAAGTACTAAAAGTTAGTTTGGAGTCCTGTAAGACTGCATGGAAGCAGCCATCAGAATGGAGTTTGGAAGAGAGGGGTCTGCAAAGTTAATATTATACACTATTTATAGTTACACCTAAAACACATTTTATTCAAAAGCTAACTAGTTTTGTCAATTACACAATTTACTTTTACTGAAATTATTTCTAGAATAAATATCTCTAGTTAAATGAAATAACATGTAACATCAGATGGTATAAAATGTCTTGTGTGATGTGATTGTAAGATTACTTCCCATTAAAATGTCTGGGCATTCCCTGAAATATGCAGATTTGGAGTCCAGTTAATTGATAACTATTTTAGCTCACCTGAACTGTAAATAGTAGTTTTTTTGCACATTGTTTGTTAGGCATTCTGTTGAAAAGTACGTTTCTTCATTCTGTTGGATATTGAAATCAAGAATCATAACAGTTTGATAAAAAAACATGTCTTTCCAGGTTCATACCTTTATTGTAATACATGTACTATGTAAACATAACGTAATCAAGATGTAACATCTACAATGTTTATATCTACAGATATAAATATCTGTAGATGTCTCATGCCTAAGAGCCCTAATATACATGTATCTTGACAATTGTCACACAGACACTATATTTTCATACTAAGTCTCTCAAGCTTGACTGGTGGAGGAATACCTCAGATCCCCTTTCTTACATAATGTCAGGTTTTAATCTCAAAACAACAGTGTTAAGAGACAATTTTAAATCTTATCTGGAAAGCTTTTGCTGTCAGTAAACTATTGAGCCTGGTCCAACCCCTCTCTACCAAACAGTCTTACCGGACTCAATTCTGATGGCTGCTAACTTTTAGTACTTTGATATTTATAATAAATTATTTGCATTTACAACAGACGGTTCCAACCTGAAAATAAGACAAATCTATTACATAAACATAGCAATTGGTAGGAAGAAATTTTAAAATCCTAGCAAATGGTCTTTTCCCCAGACATGTTACTCAGGTTAGCGGTTTAGTACCATTAAGGGCTCTTTTGTTTGGAATATATGCTATGTTTTGAGAATTGAAGTGGAAAAAGAGAGTCACTGCAAAAAACTTGCATATGTTTTGAGGTATTAGACAACTACTGGGTAATTTTCTACCAGCTGGGTTATAAATTATTTCATGTGCACGATATTTAGGGAGAAACCAAATCATAAAACTGGCACAGAGCAAGAAATAAACATAACAAAAAGTATAAAAATAATGTAAATATACATGCTTAGTTCTTTTGATGAAAATTTCCGGACTATTAAAGGATTGTTGCATTGTGATGTAAGAGCATTTTTGGTGTTGTTCTTTGTTTATATCTTTCTACTCTGTGCATGTTATTTTTTATTTATTGCATATATAATTGCATATATTGTATGATTTACTTTTTGTCAAGAAGTTAGATGGCATTGCCTTGTTAGATTTAAAAAAAATAAATTGTATTACTGTTTTCAGGTTAGCGTTTGAGAATAAAGTTACATTATTTTAGTTTTCAGACTTTAAGATTTCTTTATGTAGCTATACCCTTTATTTTAATGCATATGTAATTCAAATAACATTGGCAATATAAGACTTTACTTTTGTCAAACAGCTGTATTATGTCCGACTCGCTTGATCGGGTGGTGGGGGATTCTAGTCGGGTCCAACCTTGGAGGTGTGGGTAGGAAGGTTACCCGGTAGTTCGAGAGGATAAATGTGACTTGACTTTTTCAAAACACTCCGATTGTGCATACAAACATTTGTATTCAAAAATGAAATTCAGAAATCAGTAGGAACTTCTATTTTTAATGCAATGCCATTTTTCTCTGTCTTTGCATATTGTACTTTCATTTATATGTACTTTAGTTAGCCTAGTAGTTAGCATACTTTGCATGTGTTTTTCTTTTTTGTTCTTATTGTTTAGCAAAGTGGAGATCAGGTGAAACACATAATGGTGTAAGGAAAAGAAAGGGTAAAAACAAGACGCACATAGTGGACCAGAAAAATGCTGGTTTGACTGAAACGGAGGAAGGTAATGTGGTGTATACCATATTTTCTAATAAATGCCCCTTTGGACGTTGCATTTACCAAAAATAAATTTGCCTTTTTTTTGTCAAGGGGAGTGAAAAGGGGTGGGGGCAATTTTAGGGTATATATTATGGTACCATATTTCCCTTTTATGTATCTTGGGCAAGCTGTAACAATCATGCTTCATCTCACGTATCACATTATCGCTTGAATGTCATAACTCAAATATACAATGATGATGTCATTAATGATGTCATTCATTATGGAATAAAATAATTAAAAAAAGCGTCAGATTTAAGTACCACAAAAGTTTAAAAACCATTCATGGAATGCAACACTTTTATTAAACAAAATCAGTTAAGATTATCAATTTATAATCAAAGGACTTTAGACAGCATTAATTGTATTACAAGGGTAGGTCTGTCCTTGTTCCAGCTAGAAATTTTAAACCATTTGGACATAAAATATAATTTGGATTGTTTTTATGCTTGTGTCAGCATACATATCTATATTATTTGATTACTTAGTGGATATTTGTGTTTTTTTCACAATTTTGGAGATATTTTCATGAAGTATAATATTTTTAAGTTCCCCTAATATGAAATACATATGTGTTATATTCAATGATTTCAGATTAATTAATAAAGGATCATATGTATATCCCACTGGTATGTTAGCATTAGGCTAGCCTCTCCCTGCCACCACCCTCATTTCTCCAACCTCACTTATAGAACTCTTTAGTTGAAACCTCACAATTTTTACCTTTACGGTAGTTGAAGCTTTTGTTAGATGTTGATCAAATTAATTATCACATTTTTATTTCCAAATAACTTTTAAGCCTGCACCTGCTTCACCTGACAGTTATATTTTGATATATTTTATATATATATTTTATTTATATAATTATCAGGATATCCAAAAAGTCCCAATTTTTGTAATTTTTTAATATATTTATTGCTGTTTCACTATTGGGACATACATTTAAGTCTGATTTTTGTAAATTTTAGATATCTATTGCTGTTTAACTATCCAAATATAAGTTTAAGCACTATATTTGATTGTATGTGTTTAATATGTACTGCTCTTTAAGTATTTGAGACATTGTTTAAACTCTATTTTTTGTATATTTTTAATATATATACTACTGTTTAACTGTTTAAACATAGGTTTAAGCCAAAAACTGACCTTAAAACCCTAACACAGGTCATATTTTAAATGTTTTCGGACTAGTGCAAATTAAAACAGGCCTTTGCCAACATTTTAAGAGACTTGCCATCTTGCAGGTCAGTTCAGTCTGACCAGGCTCTTATACAGATACCTGCTCAATTTTAAGTACTTTTATAATGAATTCCCTTTAACTTTTTAATGGACTGTTCCAAATTAGAAGCAGGGCAAGTCCATTCAACAAACTTGGTAGGGTTAGGGTTAATTTGTCCATAATGACTCAAGACAAACACAAAATTTATTTATATTCAAAATATGAAAACATATTATTCCACAAACAATGCATAGATTTTTATTATGTATTTTATTTCTATATTTGCTGCGGATGGTGTTTTCAATTTAAGCTTGCCAAGTTATTTTATCATTTTGCTACATTAAGATACTTTATGACTAGATCAAAAGATTAAAAACAAAAGTGAAAAACTATTTTCAAAAGATATATGGATAAAATAAGTACTTAGTGCTTCAAGATTTTCCCAGCAATGTTTTCGGCTTATCTTTGATAAAGTGCATGGGAGAATCAGAAATAGCATGTGAATTTACTGCAAGAAACAGCTTGTAAGCATCTGTTATGAAATACGTTTGCATGAAGAATGTATGTTTTATGGGGCCATATTTTGAAAATAGAATGTCTAATGCATGACGTGGTCCTTTTTCACTTTTCAGATCAAGATATGCAGTGATTTTATGTTGTGATGCTTTTATTTATTAAAAGTCCTTGAAAAAAAGAGATTTTATTGCAAGGTTTATTGATAAATTTTAAACTTTAGCCTCTGGATGAAAATAATTGGTATGCCAGGTTATTTTTAGCTGATATTCAGTCATGTCAAATTTATTCCAGATGTGGAAATTACTTTTGAAGTTTATTTATAAGCAGTGAAATATTACATATAATTATCATGCTACTTTTAAATATATGACAAAGGATAGACCCTTGAATAATGACCTTAGTTCTCAGAACTTAATAGATTGCTTAAATAAAGGCCTTAATAGTCATAGCCTAGTATTCTTTACTAAGATAGAGTCTGTTACACAGCACACTAGTCATTGCTTAGATAGAGTCTTTTACACAGCACATTATTCAATAAGATAGAGTCGTGTACACAGTTTATTAATTCATTGCTTAGAGTCCTTTACATAGCACATTATTCAATGCCTAGATAATAAGAGTCCTTTACACAGTTTATTATTCATTGCTTAGATAAGTCCATTACACAGTTTATTATTCATTGCTTAGATAGAGTCCTTTACACAGCACATTATTCAATGCCTAGATAATAAGAGTCTTTTACACAGTTTATTATTCATTGCTTAGATAGAGTCCTTTACACAGCACATTATCAAATGCCTAGATAATAAGAGTCCTTTACACAGTTTATTATTCATTGCTTAGATAGAGTCCTTTACACAACACATTATTCAATGCCTAGATAATAAGAGTCCTTTACACAACAAATTATTCATTGCTTAGATAAGTCCATTACACAGCAAATTATTCATTGCTTAGATAAGTCCTTTACACAGTTTATTATTCATTGCTTAGATAGAGTCCTTTACACAGCACATTATTCAATGCCTAGATAATAGGAGTCTTTTACACAGTTTATTATTCATTGCTTAGATAGAGTCCTTTACACAGCACATTATTCAATGCCTAGATAAAAAGAGTCCTTTACACAACAAATTATTCATTGCTTAGATAGAGTCATTTACACAGCACATTTCTCATCGCTTAGATGGAGTCCTTTAAACAGCACATTATTCATTTACATAGGACATTATATAATACCTAGATTGAGTCCTTTACATGTTAGAGTATTCATTGATTAGATAGAGACCTTCACACAGTACATTATTCATTGCTTAGATAGAGTCTTTTACATGCCACATTATTCATTGCTTAGATAGAGTCCTTTACATGCCACATTATTCATTGCTTAGATAGAGTCCTTTACACAGCATATTATTCATTGCTTAGCAGAGTCTTTTACATAGCACATTATTCATCGCTTAGATATTGAACCTTATTCACAACACCTTAGTAATTGCATTTATAGAGGATCTTATTATAGGAGTGATATAGTCATTTAATAATAGGAGAAACTTATCTAGGGCACAATATTCTTGTATTGTGAAGAACATCTAATCTTATAAAAAGTGAACTTTATTCCTCTATCTTTCATTTGGTCAGTTAAAGTATAGAAATTTATATAGTTCTGTAATTGTTCAAGCTATAATTTGCCACTATTTAAAGATGTTTGAATTAACACTTTAGTAATTTAGCCTGTTAGCAGTAACTGCAACTAGTGCAGATTAAGATCCAGGTCTGTACACCAGTACTGTCTGATCATGGTTTGCACTGTTCATATCTATTCAGTCAGTACATATTTTGAAATTTTCCATTAAATTATGAATGATCATGTCCATATTGATACAATGGGCAGGTTACACTTTGGGATGGATATTCCAATCTGAACTGTGACCATTATTGAGAATACTAAAACTTGAATATTCTAACATATAGAACATATGTTATAAAAATTATACACTTCATATGAGATCTTTAATGTAAGAAAAGAACAGTTTATTCATCTGCTAATGTCATTATTGCAGATTTTACTTGTGTATTATTTGATATACATCTTATTTATCAATGTGAATAAACAGGTAACTGTCTGCCTGAAAGATTTTATATCAGAAATGGTCTGTTTATTTTGTAATTTACGAGAAAAAAAATTATTTGGTAAAATTTTACAAGTGGTGTAACAGTTAAATATTTGTTGTTATATATAGGATGTACAACATATGAGGCTGTGTTTGACTATAAAGGGGAACTGAGCACGCATTTACAACTGAAACAAGGTGACCTAGTTAGAGTACACAGAAAAGAGGCTGCTGGTTGGTGGAGAGGAACCGCTGGGGACCAGACTGGCTGGTTCCCTAGCAACTATGTTCAGGCGGCACCACCAGGTATACAACAACTCTTTCTTTTTAGATTAACGAACCAATATTATATGCAAGAAATGATTTAATGATCTATAAAAATATATTTATTGACCAACTTAATTTTAAGTGTCTTGATGATTGAAGAAAGTTTTTTTGGCAAACAAAATGTGAACATTGAATTGTTTGGTTGAAAAAATAATCATTGATTTCCATCATTATTATTTAGGTTTTGTCAGTAAAAACATTTCTGTTTCAACAGTTGTCTCCCTTCATGTATGTTGATAGAAAATCACAAACTATGAAAAGATATTAATGTTAGGACATAAATTCTGGTACAAAACAAAAGGTTGTATGATGTTTACGACTGTGTGTGCCTGAAAATAAAGCAAAGCTTTCAGGTGGTTCTTTTTATGCCACCGCAGCATCTGCGATGCGGTGGCATATAGCGATTCACCTGTATGTATGTGTGTGTGTGTGTGCGTGCGTGTGTTTGTTTGTTTGGGTGTGTGTGTGTTATATAGATTATATAGTGAACTTAAAAAATCTTCTTGGGAAAAACCGCTAGTCCAATTTCAACCAAACTTGGCAGGATTGATCCTTGGGTGAAGGGCTTCCAAAGTTGTTCAAAGAATTTCATTCCATGCAGAAATCTGGTTGCCATGGCAACCAAAAGGAATTATAAGAATAAATTTAAAAATCTTCTTGTAAAGATCCAAAAGGCCTAGAGCTTAGATATTTTGCATAAGGCATTGTCTGGTAGACCTCTACCAAGATTGTTCAAATTATAGCCCTGGGGTCAAAATTGGCCCCGCCCCGGGGGTCATTGATTTTCACTATATATACATATAGTAAAAACATAAAATACCTTCCTGTAAAGACCCTAAAGGCCTAGAGCTTAGATTTCTTGCATTGGGGCATTGTCTGGTAGAAATCTACCAAGATTGTTCAAATTATAGCCCTGGGGTCAAAATCGGCCCTGTCCCGGGGGTCATTGATTTTCACTATATGTACATATAGTAAAAACTTAAAATCCTTCTCGTAAAGACCAAAAAGGCCTAGAGCTTAGATATTTTGCATAAGGCATTGTCTGGAAGACCTCTACCTAAATTGTTCAAATTATAGTCCTGGGGTCAAAATCAGCCCCGCCCCGCAGGTCATTAGTTTTCCTTATATGTATATAGTAAAAACTTTAAAAAAAATTTCCTCTAGCAATTGACAAAATTAATGCTAAAGGTTAGATAATTTGCATGATACATTGTGAAGTGAACTTCTAGCAAGATTGTTCAAATTATAGCCCTGGGGTGAAAATTGCCCCCGCCCCGGGGTCATTAATTTTCAATATATACATATAGTAAAAAATAAAAAAATCTTATTAGGTACAAGGCCTAGAGCTTTAATATTTGTTTAATGATATCATCTATAGGTACTCTACCAAAGTTGTTCAAATTTTGCCTCTAGTGTCAAAATTAGCACCGCACCGGGGGTCATAGGTTTTCCTTATATGTATTTAGTAAAAACTTTAAAAAATCATCTTTTCTAAATTTACAAAGGCTAGAAATAAGATATTTTTCATGAAACATAATGTAGTGAACCTCTAGCAAGATTATAGCCCTGGGGTCAAAATTGGCCTGGCCCCACCCCCAGGGGTCATTGATTTTCACTATGTACATATAGTAAAAAAATAAAAAATCTTCTTGTCTGAAGGTACAAGGCTTAGAGCTTTGATATTTGGTATACAATATCATCTATAGGTCCTCTACTAAAGTTGTTTTAATTATGCCCCTAGTGTTAAAATTGCCCTGCCCCAGAGGCGATAGTTTTCCTTATATGTATAAAGTAAAAACTTGAAAAATCTTCTTCTCTGAATTGAAAAATCTTCTTCTCTGAATTGACAAAGGCTAGAGGTTAAATATATATGGCATGAGACTTTGTGAAGTGAACCTTTACCAAGATTGTTCAAATTATAGCCCTGGGGTCAAAATTGGTCCCGCCCCGGGGGTCATTGATTTTCATTATGTACATATAGTAAAAAAAATAATATTTTTGTCTGAAGGTACAAGGCATAGAGCTTTGATGTTTGCTATATAATATCATCTATAGGTGCTCTACCAAAGTTGTTCAAATTTTTCCCCTGGTATCAAAATTGGCCCTGCCCGGGGGCAGTGATTCTCATTATGTACACATAGTAAAAACAGAAAAAAAACAAATGTTTTCTGAATGGGAGAAAGCTACAACTTAGATATTTGACTTGAAATGTTGTTTGGTGGACTGTATCAAGATTGTTTTGAATTAAATCCTTTGGTCCAAAATGTTGCCTTGCCCAAGGGGACAGTGACCTACTTTCTTGTCCTTTGATGTACAGCAATGGAATTTTGACCATGTGCACAGTTTTAGTTGTAAAATTGAACTTTGATATCAGGTGACTTAGATTTTGATGATGTGACCTACTTTCTTGTCCTTTGATGTACAGCTATGAAATTTGAACCATGTGCACAGATTAAGATGTAAAGTGAACTTTGATTTCAGCTGACCTAGATTTTTACAAAGTGTCTTACTGTGTTGTCCTTTGATGTAGTCATGAAATTTAGGCTGTGTGAAATATGACCTTCACCACCAAATTCACTAGACTCAAGTGCATTGATATATTCCTACTCTGATCTTTTATTGAGTTAACAACAGATTTAACCACTAATCGGATATTAAGAATTAGATAGGTCAGGGATCTATGCATTATGACAATCTTCAAAATTGTATAGAAACAAAAAAAAACTGTTCCTACACTAATATTTAGTGTTGTATTAATGCGGTGGCATAGCATTTTTCTCAAATGCAATCTTGTATCAGTTTGAATTGAAAACTGTTTCAACCTGATAAATAGCATTGATAAATGATTCTGTGTGAATTATGTTATGAAACTCACTTATTTTTCACGTTTTCAGACAATTTTAAAACAGAGAATGAGGTTGAGATGCACGACGACTCGTATGTTTCATCCTTCATGGTGAAGAGGTCAGAAGAGCCCAATCAGAGACAGTCTTGCCTATTAAATGAACTTAATCAGAGAAAATCTTATCTTGTTAATGAACCCAATCACAGAAAATCTGCCCCAACGGAGGAAGAAATTCAAGCTGAGCCTATTTACTGCAAGATACAGCCAAAGGTACTTAGACTAACCTTAGCTTCCAAACATTTGCTTATATTTAGTCTGTCACTGCATAAGAATGATTCTCAATCACTTTTGTAGTTTCATTGGTTTTATTTGGTGGGTGTTGAGAGGGTGCAGGTATTTTGTTTGAATATACCTTAAAGTTACTATTAGCTTAACCTTTACCTTACCCTCTTTGATCTGCTATGTGCCTTTGTTGCCAGTATAGAGCCAGGTCAGTTTGACCATAATTGATAATAGACAGTTCCAGATATTGACAAGTTTAGATCTTCTTCCGTTTGATCTAATTGCATAGCATTTAAAGCACTAACTGCATTGGAGAAAAATCTTTATCTTGCTGATTTTCTTAGATTGAATAGTTCTGCTTCAACATTTCAAAGTGTCCTTTTACAATTTTGGGTAAATAAAGATAAATTTTTTTAATAAGTCAACATGAAAATTTTTAATTAGTTAGCCAACATGAAAGAGCTTGTACAGATTTCACGAATGTCCAGGCTAACTGGGCTGTATACAAGTGGCAAATGTTATTAACCAACATGTTAAGGAATAGTGAAGATATACCAATAAAAAAAGTGGACTTTTTGCTAGTACTGGAGAAAAATAGTTATCACCTTAGTGCAGTAGTCATTTTATGTTTTAACTCCTTCACTCCGTGCAACCAGTTTGACTAAAATCAGCCAGCATGTCTGTGCCCTATGATCATGGTCTTCACTGTTTGGTATTTTGTCATTACATACATGTATCTTGAAATATTCCCTAAAAGCAATGAATGGTCTTGTCCATTTTGAAAGATTGACTAGTCCATTTAAGATATACATGTATAAAGGGGTCAGGGTTGATTTTTCAATACTATGCCTATCTATACAAATTATAAGGCCTAATGTGTTATTATAAATTTTTATAATATATACATGTAATTTGTTCATTCATGCATAAACTTTTATCATTTCAGGACAAGAGAAAGTCGGGTGTAGACAGGAGCAATAGCACCACGCCTACAAAGTCAGATATAATATCCTCGATTAAAGATACTTCATTAGGTAAAAACTTTCATGGTCTAAAATACAGCTACAATTCCTGGAAAGATATATTGTCTCCTTATTTTATGCTCTCCGAAGGGTGAGCATATAGTTGCTGCTTTGTCCGTCCGTCCGGTTGTCCCCACTACCGAATAGGGATAGGGGGCCATCTAACTGTAAACAGAACAAAAAAGAGAACAATCGAGTTCATTCCGTAATAAAAAGTAAGGGGCCATTGGCCCTCTATTAAACAGAGGAAAATAACAAAAGAAATGGCCCCTTATTCCATTTTGGCCGTCCGTCTGGTTGTCCGTCCCTACAAACCCAGAGGTACTTGTGTGTCTTGGAGAACAATGGGTAACAGTAAATTCTCTTTGATCCTATTCATTCGGTATTTACTTGTGTGTCTTTTTTTAGGCCTTGTGTGTCTAAAAATGGCTAAAAAAATCAAAGGAAAGTCACATAAGTATCATTTCACAAGTACGTCGGTCTGTTTTTCTTGTCCGGGACATAACTCTGCATCAACAAAAGGTATCAACATGAAACTTTGTAGGTAGATAGATCTCATTGGGAAGATGTGCAGTGCAAAAGAAACATAACTCTACTTTGCCTAATTTTGGAGTTATTGCCCTTTGTTCATTCCAACATTTTGAACTTTGTCTGGGACTAGAAGTGATATCAACATAAAACTTTGTAGGTAGATGTATCTCATTTGGTAGAAGTGTGGTGCAAAAGAGCCAAAACTGTGACTTGTCTAATTTTGGAGTTATTGCCCTTTGTTCATATTTACATTTTGAACTTTGTCCGGGACATAACTGACACTATAAGAGATATGAACAAGAAACTTTGTACGTAGATAGATACATGTATCATTGGGTAGATGAGCAGTGCAAAGAACAATGACTCTGTCTTACCTAAGTTTGGAATTATTGCACTTTGGACTTTGTCCGGGACATAACTCTGACACTACAAGAGGTATACTTTTCTGTGTCGGAAACCTTTCTGTGTGATTGTACATATATATTGTGTATATGACTGGCCGGTCCTTCTGAATGTTAGTATAACATTTATATTTCTCCTTCAAATAAATAAATGTCTCACTTTATCGAGTTAAAATAGAGTCATAGATAGCATAGAAATGACTTCTTTGAAACTTTTAAAATACAAATTTAGCCCTCTTTTTGTGACAAACTTTGAATGGTTCCCGTTTTCATTTGCTAAACTTTTCGATTTTGAATGTAAGAAATAATAAAATGATTTTGGTATGTCTCAAGTGAGGCCAATCTGCACATACTGTTAGTTGCTTAATTTTCCTCCTTTTTTCAGATTTGAAATTCCTTACAATAACAATTGACAGTTTTAGAATTTAAATCAAAGCATTATTAGAACTAAAGTTCGGAAGGCGTTAATAAAGAAGTTTTTGTGTATAATTTACTCATATTGGCATGTAAGAAAAAAGTGCTTAGTTTTTCATAATAATACATGTATATAACAATGTCTTTAACAAGAATTTTATGTATTTTTAGATGAAGACACACATTATGTCGCCCTGTACCCGTTTGTTGCACGTGTAGACACAGAGCTTACTATAAACAAAGGGGACATAATCCTGTGTAAAGAGTGTGGCGATCAAAATGGTTGGATGAGAGGTATAAATGACAGTACAAAGCTTGAAGGATGGGTACCAGCTACATATGTTAAAAAGGTGAGATTTTGTGAGCTAAAAAAGACATGAGTGGTACCAGCTATGTATGTTAAAAAGGTGAAATTTATTAGCTAAAGTGATGGGTACCAGATACATATGTTAAAAAGGAGAGATTTTTATGAGCTCAAAAGATGAGTGGTACCAGCTACATATGTTAAAAAGGTGAAATTTATAAGCTAAAGTGATGGGTACCAGATACATACATGTATGTTAAAAAGGAGAGATTCTTATGAGCTCAAAAGATGAGTGGTACCAGCTACATATGTTAAAAAGGTGAAATTTATTAGCTAAAGTGAAGGGTACCAGATACATATGTTAAAAAGGTGTGATTTTATAAACATAAACATGTCCACTGCCAAGTTTTCATGTGGATGTAAGATATTTAAAGTACAGAAGAAATGTATTGTTAAAAGATTACCAAGAAATGATAAAACATCAAATTGAAGTTTCATAGATATCATTATTACAACAGTTATTCATGTTATCTATAGGACAGAATTGTGAAATAAATTAGAAAAAAACATAAATCACACATTTTAATAATGATTATTCATTTATGATGAGATATGTCTTTGAAGGCCAATTGACAAATTGATTTTCTTTCATTTTTCCATCTTTTACTTGAATTCAATTACTTTTGGTTACTTTAAAAGGTTGGTAAAGTTGAAAAAGTTGAGAAACCTAAGTTGGACCTAGATCCGTCAAGTTACAAGCAGCTAGAAGTGAATGTGGACATGGATGAGCGACAGGATCTGGTTGGTATAGTACATAAAGCTATACATACATTCTCCGCGGAGAAAGCTGGTGACCTGGAGTTTGATACTGGCGATCATATCACAGTGTTTCAGGTAAATATTGAAATACAAGAAGTTTATGAAGAAAATATTTTATTTTGATCGTGTACGAAGCTTTAAGATTAAAAAAAACACACTAGAATCTGTTCCTTTAACCAACTAGTAAAACTCATTGATTGTAAAGTTTCTTGCCCAAAAACAGCTTGCCTCTGACCTGGTTTGAACCAATGGGGCCAGCAATCCTTAGATTCAAAAATCCATGGTGGAGTCCCTTTAACGAAAACTAATACTGACGTTCTGTTCAAATTGTTACATGACAGTTTTTTGCCAGTTTTTTGCTGACATTATTTCTACCCCTATAAGGGCAATTATTGCTAGATGCTTCTCATTTTGAAATAAATTCAATTGAAATAATAGGAAAACAGTTGATATTATTCAATTATCAGAGACACACTATATTCCCATGTGTGGAAAATGATCTCACTCATCATTATGCTGTATTAATGTTATTTTTTAAACAGTGTGACATTTAAGATGTCATCAAACATTGTAATTATATGATGCCTGACTGCCATGTTGTTTGAGCAAACTGGTGACAAACATTTGCCTTTGCAAACTGACAGTAAAGGAATTAAATACCCATTTCCTATAATGTAATTGTTCAATCTGACTAAAAGTTCAGATCAACCTATTTCTGTTATGTAGATCTGATTATGACCATATATCTTTCGCCTTCCTTATAATTAAGATTTCTAGAGAAAGCTATTTTTAGCCATCCAAACAAACTGGTATTTACATAGGCATTAAAAAAAAGTATCAAAATACTGTTGTCTGTGGAAGTTAAACAAATTGTTGATTTTTGTTAGAAAAAAACAACCGCCTCCGTGGTTGAGGGTTTAGAGTCGATGACTTCTAATCCAGTTACCCCTCTGGCGTGGGTTCAATCCCCGGGAGATGCTTTGGTAGTTTAGCACGGAGGAAGGTAGTCTAGTACTGGTGTACCTCTCCAGGAACCATGGTTAGGAAACTACCCGCCTATATGACTGAAATACTGTTGGGAAAAGGCGTAAAATGAAACAAACAAACAAACAGTTAGAAAAAAATGTTTGATGTTATTTTTAATAAAATAACTTGAAATAATAAGAATCAATTTGTTTGCAAGATTGTTTCTCCAGTTTACCTGTCGGCTATATGGACAGCGGCAAGTTTGTTCTGTCAATTTTTGACAATTTCCTAATCAGTATTGGTTTTCCCAGGGTTTAAACGCTTTCAAAATTATGAAAGCTTGCCGATGATTGGCTATGTGAAAGATCCCCAGAAATAACTTCTTAATTGGTCACTGTTAGATCTAAAAGCGGAGCGTTATTTACAGCTAATTTTAATCAGATTGCGAAATTGTTCAATGCAAGGTTTAAATATTTAAAAGCCCTTTCACTTGTAAATATCAAATCTTTATGACATAATCAACATAACTTAATTTGTTCCTGAGGTTTAGAGCTAAAGATATTCAATTACCTTTCATGAAATACTAGAGTTAACCACATCATAAAATGTTTCATTAATAGTTTATGGCCATTACTTTATTATCAGGTAATTGGGAAATAGTTATATGTTTATGTTGTCTAAAGGAAGAACACCCCTAATGGGCACTATTAGGAACTGTAAAAATCGGTAACATAGGACAGTTATATGCCTTAAATGTCACTTGTATGCAAAATTTAAAGAAAATTTACCGTGTGGTTTATGATATGGACATTTTTCTGAACTAAAACTTTGCTATTAAAAGGGCTTTTTTCAGAAATGGACGAACTCTAAATAATCCATATTATCATCATTATGAAAAATGTATTCCTATTGCTCATTGTTAAGAAACAAATAATGACATTCAGGTAAAAAATTAATCCAGCAAAATGATTGTTTCGAAACGAAATGTTTTTAATATGTATAAAAATGTAACCCTACCCCACCCACTTTAAACACTTATTTGACCATTTCCCTATTTACCGGGTAGTTTTTTTTTATTAAACTTGGAAAATAATTCAATTTTGGTATCATATTTGCCATTAAAATTGGCATTTTTTAGCAAATAAATACCTACAATAATTATTAAATGAAAATGAAACACTTTTTTCTTCCATTAGGGATCTGAGAGATTCATAAAAAGTGTTAAAAAGAAAAAAAAGAAAGAAAAAAAAGTTGCCCCTTCTGGGGTTTGAACCCACTCCACCCCCTTTCATTTTTTCAATCCACTCCCCTTTTTTAAAACCCTTTCAAAGGGGAAAGTTTAGGGGCATGGGGGGTGTACTCCCTTTTAAATGAATAAAAGTTATAATAAAATTGATCCATCCATTTTTTTTTTAAAAATTTAATTTCAAAATCACTTTTTTTTCACGCACCTTTTTAAAAAAAAAATCCTTTCCCCCAAATATTTCGCAGTTTTCATGAATTTCCCAAAGGGCGGGGTCGAATTTTAAAAATTTTTGATGGGGGGGGTTTTTTTGTGCTCTCCATTTCCTGAGTGTGTTTGTTGGTTTGTATGTTGTTTGGATTTTAAGTCTCACCAACAGTGTAAAGAACATATAGAAACTTTCTAGCTTTACTGTTGGAGGAAGACCTTAGGTGCCTCTCTCTGCATTATTTTAGGCACAAGCTGGCACCCCCTGTGTAGAATTACCAACATTCCGTAAAGATAGCTGGATAGATCCCTCAGATGAAAGAATCCAGAGAATACAAAGTCCTTGATGGAATTCGAACCATGCAAGTTATTTGAAGTTGGTGTCTTGAACCACTCGGCTCAATACAAATTGTAATAATCTCACTCTAACATGATGACATGTGGTGAATTTTATTTGTAAAATAATACTTTCAATATATTCTGTTAGGAACTTTGGTTTATGCTTAAATAATTTACCTTTACTTTATGTTTCAGGTACTAGAAAATGGCTGGTGGTTAGGATGTAAAGATAAAACTGTTGGCTGGTTCCCAGGAACATTTGTAGAGGTACTTTTCTGATGTTAAATTGTTATTTTGTTTTAAGCTTTATTTCAAAAGTTATTTTAACAGCCAGTCTGAACATGGCATGCAGTTTTCTTGGGTTTTTTTACCAACAAATATATAAAAAAAATACATTTATCTATGTTGGCAGGCCAACAGGTGGAAGAGCTAGCTTAAATAGTTCTTCTTAGCCCAACTCCTATATCAATCTTTTACAAAACTATTTTTTTAACACCAATTGGTCTACAGCAATCTATTAGGGTTTTGTGATTTGATTACTTTTGGCAACATTATTACTCTTTATTTTATTTTTTAACAAATGTTATATTGGCAGAAAATCTGAAAAATAGGTCATTTGTTCTTTATTATATTCTAATGAATTTTCCATATTTTGTTCTCAGATTATTTAAATGAGAAATTTCTGTTAAACCTGATATGATAAGTTTGCTAAATAACCTTGATAATATTCCAATTTAATTTTTCTTACAGATGATAGACCAACCTTCAGCAAGTCCGTCTCCATCCCCAGCAAGTTCCAACCAATCACCCTCACAGAGCCCAGTACCAAGTGAAGACAGTCAGCCATTGTTGAATGACGTTCCAAAAAATCTACAACAATCGGACGTTAAACCAGCAACTCAGTCAAAACTGAAACCTGTTCGTAAAGCCCCAGCTCCGCCCACACCAAAATCACCGAAATCATCGGAACCTCATGAAACTGATACAAATGTACCTCAAGTTGAAAAGAAACCAGAATCAAAGTTACCAACCCCAGGAGGCTCGAGACTTCCGAAAATGTCTCGTCCAAAAGTTGCTCCTCCTTTACCCCCCACCAAACATTCTACAGATCTTCATGATCCCCTGTATGACGTTATTGACAAACCTGATCATAAAAATGATGTGAATACTAACATATCTGACAAACATGTGCCAAATAATAATGATAGTAATATTGTTAAACAAAATGGACCAACTTCAGATGGATTATATGAGTTGATTAAACCACCAGAGAATGGTCCAAACTGTGTAAGCACACCAAAAAAAAAGGAAAAAATCAAACCACCTGTACCTAAAAGATTTATCAAACCAAAGTTAGTGACTGTACCAAAGGCTGAGGTACAAATGCAAATAAAGAGACTCTAACCAAAGGTTTAGTTAATGGAGATGTGATGAAGTTACGGCCCCTCCACCTCCAAGGCCGGTTGCTCCTAAACTAGGACCAATAAGAGCCAAATTATCAGAGCCTAAACCTTTAGAGGACCAGATTCCAAGTGAAGAAGAGGATACATACTTTAATTTAACTCCTCAGAGAAAGTTTTGATGCCTTTGTTTGTCAAGATTTAGATGAACAAGATGTAGCAGTTACAGGTGAAGATGATCCATACCAAACTCTGTCAAGCTTTGGTGTATCGTCCTTTGCTAAGCCGAGAGAATCATCATTTGGGAAAATCAAAAGAAATTAAACCTTTGCATATAATTGATGACATTCAAAATATTCCTATTCATGGCAGAATAAAGGATAATGATAGTGAAAACATTGCAGAGCTTAATGCTGATATAAATAATGATTATATAAATGCACTGGGAAGTTGTGAAGATGCATCACCCAGGAACGAAGTTCAAGGCCAAAATGTGCATGCAGAAAACATTGTAAATGAGGTAAAAAATGAAGTCATTATAAAAGAAAAAGACAATCCTGATAATACTACAGCAGAAAACCAACCTAAAGAGCTAAAATGGGGATACCAGTCACACCAAAAATGAAAGCCTCACGTTTAGCCCCACCTAAGCCTGTTTCTGCTAAAATAAGTGAGCCCAATGATGAAGCTTATTTGGAAAAAAACTGCCAGTTCTCCCCTGAAAAGACATCAAAATTACAAAAACCTACGAAAGTAGGTCTTAGTTTCAAAAATTCCTCTGTCTCCAAAAGAAAGTCCAAGGAAAAAGCCTGATGAACCAAATGTTTTCCATTACCCTGATTCAGCTAAATCTTCTAATGATGTTGAAAATGTTGATGATAAAGGTACTGTTTTATATACTTCACCAAAAGGAAACAGTGATTCAGTACATACAAATCCTCAACATGTTATTCAAAATACAGGAAAACATGGAGAAGATGCAAAGAACAGAAAGTTTGAGACAGAGAAACAAAATAAAAATATTGAGGATAAACCAAGAACGGAAAGTTTTTGAAAAAACGACCAAGGGCTGACAGTATGGAGAAAACAGGCTAAGAGCTGACAGTATGGAGAATAGGCTAAGGGCTGACAGTATGGAAAATAGGCTAAGGGGCTGACAGTATTGAGAATAGGCCAAGGACAGATAGCATAGAAAATAGGCAAGGACAGATAGCATAGAGAATAGAGCCAGAACTGACAGTATTGGGAAACCCCCAGTGGCTCCAAAACCCAAATCAGGGGTTACCTAAATTGGCAAAGCCTTCGTCTATTGGTAAAACCAAGGAAGAGCCGGTTGATGAAAATGTGTATGGAAATTCTCCAAGGATGGAGAATAATAACAGTATCGGAAAATCTCCAATAAATGAGGGACAATCTCAATTACGAATAAAAATCTCCAGGTCATGATGTACTGCCTCCTTCAGGAATTGAACCTGAAGCTAAACATGTCCCATCACCAATAATTGAAAATGTTAAAAACAAGACTAAGTGAATCTGAAAGTGATACAGAGAACAAGAATGTGAATAGTAAATCTAAAAGTGTTACTCCTGGAAGTAAATTACCCCATATAAGTGCCAAAACACAACAATCTCCCAAGTCAAGGGGAAGAAAATCCAATTTTTACCCAGTCCTGGATTTAGAAACAAAAGTGTAGACGGAAGTGATAGAAATGTAAATGAACATAAGTTAATCTGAAAGTGAAAAGTGATGGACCTATGTCTCCAAATTTGAATATTAAACGAAAACCAGAGAGTCCTGCTCCAGGTAGGAAAGCATCTTCAAAACAGGTGGGTTCAGTTGAGAAGCAGAGTTTAAGAAATCGTTCAAACAGTCCTGCTGGTCGATCAGTCATTCCTACAACAATGAGAAACCGTTCCAATAGTCCTGCTCCAAAACCTGCTGGAATTCCAGTCGCAATACTAACACTCCTAAAAATAAGCAAAGGGGGCTGGTTCCCCCAAAGAAAATACTCAATGGTCAAGATACGAATGGAGATAGTACAAGTCCAACAACCAGCAACCAATCAAATTTGCCAGCATTGAATTCGCCAGTTAAGATGATAAAAATGAGCCAGAAAATGATAGCCTAAGTCCAAAGCCTGACAGGCCTTCCAAACCTCCGAGGATTCAGAAACAGAAAGTCAGGATAGTAAAGGCCCCAAAAAATGGAAAAAGCCTACTTCCTGTCATTTCATAAAGCTATGAAACAGGAAGTGGCTCTCCAAATGGGTTTCCCAAACAACTCCAGGACCAAACCTAAAAGGGGGAATTCCAGTTGCAAAACCAACCAGACCAGAAACATCCCCAAAGCATCACCAACTGACCAAGGGTAAATATATTATACCACATTTGTTGATGTTGAACATGTATTTAAATAAAAACCAATTATCCTTTGGGGATATTTTTTAGGACAGAAATTGGGCCCTATTTCCCTATTCCCATATAACAGCATGTGTTTTTCTCTCTCTTCTTTTCCTCCTTGGATAGTAATTGTATTATGGGAAGCATGTCCAAAGTAGTTTTGACCCTGTATAGAGTTTAGTCCAGTCTGTATTTTTTTAGAGATATTCCACATTGTTTTTAGCTCCTCTATTCGAAGAATATGGAGAGCTATTGTAGATGCCCCGGCGTCGGCGTTGGTTAAAGATTTTTGTAAATTCAAATATCTCCATTATTGCTTGAGATATTCAATTGAAACTTACAATACTTATTTAAAGTAACAATTTACATCACATTGACAAGTTGGATAACTCTGCCTACAATATTTACAGAATAATGCCCCTTTTTAACTTAGAGATTTTGGTTAAAGTTTTTTGTAAAGTCAAATATCTCAATTATTGCTTGAGATATTCAATTGAAATTTACAATACTTTTTATAGTAACAATGTACATCAGTTTGCAAAGTTGCATAACTCTACCTGCAATATTTGCTCCTTTGAAACTTAGAAATTTTGGTTAAAGGTTAAAGGTCTTCAAAGATATTTACTTGAAACTTTACACATGTACTTAGGGTCATAATTGAAGGTCACATCTCAAGATTCATTACTCTGCCATGTATTTTGACTGAATTATGCTCCCTTTTGTACTAAAAAAAATCTCCTTTTCTTGGTTAAGTTTAACATGCAAGTTTTGCATATCTCTGAAACTATTAAAGATACAAACTTGAAACTTCATATGTATATTTTGTGGTCATAAATAATGATCACTAAACAGCACTCATATCTGTGTCAAGTATTTAGGCTGATTTATCTCCCACCCCTTTTTTTACTAAGTCTCTTGGTTAATGTTTACATGTAAGATTAAACATATCTCAATAACTATCAGTTATGTTTTGATTTGAAAACTTTTCACAATATGCATGAAGGGGTCATTATTGTATGTCACTGGACCAAATTCTTTGCATTTAGGCGGGGGGGCCCGGGGGGGGGCCGGAGGTTGATTTATCACCCCTTTTTTTCCTCCCTCATTTTGTTTTGGGAGTTTTTCCAAAAACAAAACTTCTTTTAAAAAAGGGTTCCCCCCACTATGAGGAGAAAAGGGGGTCCCAAACCAAAAAAAAACCCGGGGTCTCTGGGTTTAAAAAGGGTAAAGGCCCCACACTAAAAGCCCCTTTAAAAAAATTGCTTGCCCGGGAAAACCCAAAAATTCCCCACATTTATAGGGGGGTTTTTTCCAATATTACCTTGCAAAAAAATGTTCCCCCCATTTTTTGGCGGGGGGATTTTGGTCGGTGAAAAGATTCGGGTTTCCCTTGGGGGCCCCAAGGGTTTTAAAGGGTCACCCCCAAAAAGGGTCAAAGTTCAAAAAAAAAAAAAATTGGAAGATGTGAAATTTGACCATTTAGCCCTTTTCATTTTTTTTTGGGGAAAATTGTAAAACAAAAATGGTCATTATCAAGATATCTGGGGTTTAACTTTAAAAATTTTTTAGGCCCAATTTATTTTTTAAAAGGGGTCAAGGCACATAAAATGAAAAGAAAATCCCGACTTTTTGAAAACCTAAAAAATTTAACAAAGGGGAAGACAAAAAAAGTTTAATTTCCCTTTTGTTCTAAAAGGAACTTTAAACATTTTTTAAACCCCCCCGGAATTTTTATCTTTTAAAAAATAAAATTTTTAACCCAAAAAAGGTTGCTTGTAAAAATTTTCCATCTTTTTTTTGGGGGACTTAAATTATTTCTTTGTAAAAAATTTTTGTAACATTTTTTACCACATTGTTTTAAATTAAATTGGGCCCCCAAGTTTTATTTAAAACTTTTTGAAAAACTTTTTGGTTTTTCTTTTAACTTTTTTTTCCCATAAAAAAAAGTCTTTAAACAGAAAATTAAACCCCTTAAATTCAAATGAAAATTTTAATTTTTTCTCATAGAACAAATTTTAAATTTAAAAATTTTTTTAATTTTCAAGAAAAAATATCAGTTCGGGCTCTTTCCAAAAAAAAAAGGAATTGTAATTGAAAATGATTTCCCCTTTTAGAATAAAAACCCTTAAAAACCCAAAAATTTTTAAAAGTTTTTTAAAATTTAACATTTTACTTTTTTTTAGGGGCCCGTTTTAAAAAAAAAAACAAAAAATTTTATAAAGTTTGTTTTTGGGGGACGATTTAATCATCATTTTTTTGAGGGTTTTGTAAAAAAACACAAAAAATGGGTTCTTTTTATAAATGCCCTAAATTTGGGGTGTACCCACCCATAAATTTTAAAAGGTTTTTTCCCAATTAATAAATGAAAAGTAAAAGGTAAACTAAAAGGGTTTTTGGAAATATTTTTTTTAATTTTTTTTTCCTGGAACCATATTTTCCTAAGGGTATGGAAAAAAAATTTTTAAAATTTACTTTATGGAAATGCCTCCCCAAACCTTTGAAAATGTTTTTCCCTCCATGCATTTTTCCAGGTTCCATTCCCAAAATTTAAAAGGTCCCCAACTTAGGGGCTCATTGAAAAAAAACGTTTTCCCGGGAAAGCAAAAATTTTTCCAAACT